CGCACGCTGTCGTGGACCACAAAGTTTGTGAATGCGTTCCTCAGGAGTAAGCATGAAGGAGCTTGGACCTCCTTCGTTATCTTCCGCAACTCCGCCACCGAGGTGCATGCAGACTCTCACAACTTGGTCGGCGCCAAAGTCTCTACGGTCACGTTCGGCGACTTCTCAGGAGGCCAACTGTGGATCGAGGATCCCAACGGAGGTCCCGATCTCCCGGACTATGTTGCCAGAGCCGACAAGACTGGGAAAGTCCGCTACGGAACCCTGGTGGACACCAGAGAACAGGTGTACTCTTTCGACGGCAAGGTTCCCCATGCCACGCAACCGTGGGAGGGAGAACGATGGACTTTGTCATGCTTTACTACCCGAGGATTCCCGGACTGCGACGCCCGATTTCGAGATGAACTTCGTGAGCTTCGCTTTCCTTTGCGAGGCCTTGCCCTGGGAGAAGGACGAGTTGGCGACACTTGGAATTCGTTCAGGCCCCGCAAAAGCGTGAGACGAGCCCTCTGGAAGAAGGCCGGGAGACTGGCACTTCTCACTACCTGGTGCACCTCAGCCGCAGCAACTTGCTCTACTACGACCTTTCCTTTGGCCAGAGGGCCCCAAGCTGTTTCCCTCTTCGAGATTGGAGGCGTGGACAAGACCTTTGAAGCCGCTAGCATGGAGTACTATGTGGCCGAGCCGTTCGCCTATGAGCCCACCGAGGAGCCCGATCTGGACACTACAATGGTTCAGAAGACGATTGAGGCCTTCGATCCCGCGATCATATGGGTGCACGGGAACCGGACGCGCGACTTCTTGGAGGACATCGTGGACACCCTCTACAACCACATCGACAAGGGTCGTCAGGTGGCTTTTGAGGCGCCGTCAAATGATCCTTGTTGGAACAACAGGGTCGTCAAGGAGCTCTTCGAGAGGTATGAAGCCAGATGTGTACGACGAGCTGCAGAACCCGACGTGGTCAGGATCAACGATGTCTATCATGAGGTGGACCATGGGCTACCAGAAGTAGAACCTCCTGGTTTGGTGCAGTACATGGCACAACACGCCACAGGAAGTGAAGAAGGTCGACAAGAAGAAGGATCCCCGCAAGGGGCAGCGGCTATCTCATTCGAGGACGGCAAGACTATCGCATCAGAGGTCAAGAGCTCTCTACGACGACTACATCAGAATCTAGGTCACCCCAGCAACCTGGATTTATCCCGGCATCTGCGTCTAGCCGGAGCAGACCCGAGTGTGGTGGAGGCGTGCAAGCGACTTCGATGCCAAGTATGCCAGCGCAATCGGCGAGGCTCTTCCGCTAAGCCGGCGACCCTTCCCAACCTGTTGGACTTTAACCAGGTGGTGGCCTTGGACGCTTTCTACGTGTACGACGTGAACAAGGAGAAAGTCGAGCTGATGATGGCGATCGACATCGGTACAGGCTTTGTCTCGGAGTTCTACAAGGACATTCCACAGCGACCATGGAGGCCTCTTTCTGCAGTATATGGAGCAACACGTTTGGTGCACCTGGAACACTGGTTCTCGATCTTGAGTCTGGCCTCCAGTCAGGACTAGGACGCTACAGCGAATGGCACGGCACCCATCTTCGCCCCATAGCAGGTCAAGCACACTGGCAAAATGGAGCTGTGGAACGAGCCATCAGGACTTGGAAAGAAATTTGGGTGCGACTGGTGGACGAGAAGACCGCGACCTACAAAGAA